GAGATGACCTGAGCCTTCAGTTTGAGAAGCAGATTATCAACAGCTGAGTTTGTATAGGAGGTAAGCAAAATGGATGAACCTCTCATCAACAGCGCCTTCACAGCATAGACCATAGTGGATGTTTTGCCTGTCCCTGGCATTCCTAGTATCAGCACATAATCCTTTGCCGTAAGTATCTGCAGTAATGACAATTATAAATGATGCTGTTCTGATAATTCACAATACAATTCTGACAGTTTGATATGGCTGAGAGTTCTGACAACTCGAATGCTGTAAGTTTTGCTTTGTATCTGGTTTATCCAATTAAGATTCTGATAATTCACAATGCTTCTGATTTGCAGGTGCAGATATAAACCCAATTATAGAGAGTTTCAATAACTCTTCACCTTAAGTATGGCTCGGCGCTGATCGTCATTCAAGTTTTTCTCCGACCAAATGTATGGGATGGCGGGGTCTTGACTAAATTGACATCCACTATCAAACCTAGGCACCTGCAGAATTTCACAGGTAAGATTTTCTTCTCATTCATTAAAGAGGGCTGTGGCTGAGGAGCTGCAAATCAAATTTCATACATAAGTAGAGCATTCACCTCCAGATCAACTGTCATCTTCCTCAGATGAGAACTCTGCTCATTTTGCAGAAATAGTTGTATGAGGTTGAATCTTCAAAATCAAAGCAGGAGCAAATTACGCTTGGACAAATATATGTACTTCAGGTGGAGATAATAACACATGAAAAAATTTGAATACCTCATAATTGCAAATGAACCCATAAGCTCATCTTTATGAATTCGCCACAACTGCTGATGAAGATCTTGTGCCTGTGAAGTCCGGCTGCTACCTGGAAGCCTTAAGCGTTTGGAAAGAGATACCTAAATTATGAAAGCAAATATTACAAGTTAAAATCTGCGCAGGCTTTTTCCTTTTACATATTATTGGACCCAAAATCAAAAGGAGTACCCAGGGCATTTTATATTCCAAACTTGTTAATTAGTGCCAGAATTATCATAAAGAATTAGACAAATCCACAAATATTTTTTTTTTAAAATCAAAGACATACAAGGGAATGTAGCCTGGCTCACTTCAGAATGAGTGACAATGGACCTCTACTACTTGAAAACAATGCAAAATCTTGTATAGATATAGATATATTAACAAAAGAATGCTTTAGCCCTAGCTAAATACAGTAAGCTTAAACACTAGTATGCTTTAGTTGTAATTATTTCTTAAGACGAACACTGGTTTAGAAGACTTCCGTGTATGGACTTCTTTAACTTTTCATTTTGGAAAATGCTTTCCAGGTCCTGAAGTAGTTTTTCTTTTGAAAGTGGGATAAAAAGGAAGAGCCATGTGAAGCTTTAGTTTTGTTAATGGTCAGGGCTCTTGTTCTGTTTTGTCTCAACAAATCAAACTATTTCATTCTTATATCATCTACTTATATAGTTTGGAGCTACCTTATCTATTAAAGAAAGGCAAAAGCTTTTCAGCTGTTGAAAGGGACCAAAGTGAGATCTAACAACATTAACAAAGATAATTGGCAGACGAGAAATATAAGTTTCCTACTTTTCATTGGAACAAATGAGATTATTTGAAAAGTTCGGGTTGCTCCACCTAAGGAGAATGAAAAGAAGGAACTGAAACTAAGTTATATCCGTGCATTCTAGGCATTTTGCAGCAATGACAAACACTATAAAGTAATAACTCCTTGCATTGAAGGATTATTACCAAATAAAGATCTAATACTCACCGAGATGCGAGAGCAACTCATATCTACAATAACTCCAGTAGCTATTAGTATACCACCAGGTTCAGTGCTCAATATCTGAATAGTTTAAAATTTATATTGTCGTACCGTCAATTGCTCATGACCATGAATAGAACCAAACATATTGCGCTTATAAGACAGCACTTTCAATTCAAATGATCACAACTCATACACTACTCTGAGCTGAAAGTGCAGGAACGAAACAAACAATTCAGCTATTGAGAGGCTCAACAAAACTAGAAATTACTCTATTTGCAGGCAACTTATACAAACATAAGCCATGGCCCAAGATAAATCAGAAATTACGCCATTTTTTCAGAAAATAATTGACTATTCTTCTTCTTTTTTTTTTTTTTTGTTATTGAATAGTGAGAACTCCCTGTCCTCTATGAGCTTCACGAAGCCTAGTGGTCCCAAACCCAAGTAAAGCCCGAGGGTTTGACGCTAGTAGAGAATTACTAAATTTGTGGGATGATCCCAGAGCCACCAAGGCATGTGTTCTTAGATAGAGTGGAATGAATAAGAGGATTCCTGTAGCTGACCACAACTAATTCAGGATCAAGGCATAGTTGATTCATCGAATTCTAAGAAGCTTCATTACTTCACCAAAATAACTAACTGAACCATTAGTTCAAGCCATCCGATTACTATATTTCACAGGGACAGGATCATGCAGTTTGCTATAGATGCATATAACTGCTCTGTCTCACTACTGTTCTCTTGGAGGCAAGCAGATCATGTTACACCTATGGACAAGTAATTCTTGCTTCAGCTGATTGCTGTGAAAATAGAACATTCAGGAGTGCATAAAACAAAAAGAATATGGGAAAGAAGAATACCACATAATCCCCATTCCTCAGTGAGGATTCAAACTTTTTCATAGGAAAATTATAACTATTAAGAGCATCTCCATCCTGTTGGTGAGTGCCCAAGGAAGTCCAATCTCGATGTACAAAGTGATAAGTAAATTGATTTCCTTTGCAAAAGTTTGTTGGTGTGGTTCGTTCAAGGACAAGAGAAGATAAGGAGCGTAAAGGTCATTCTTTGAACTTTGTGAACTCCAAATTTCTTTCTTTACAACCTGGAAAAAAAAATTAACAAGCAAAGAGATATTCAATTGCCATGAAGTGATTTCTTAATTTACAGTCGACAATGTATTGTACCTCAACTTCTTTAGCCTCCAAGTCAATCAACTGATCCCATTTTTGAAGAAAATTAGTATGTGCATTTGTCAGATGGCTAACAAGTGAATCAAACACACCACCCAAACCACTACCTTCTGTGGTGCCAACGTATGCCTATGAAAATTTTCAGGATCCAGTAGTATAAGCTTTTAATTTCAACAAAGTCCCAATAATATTGAATATTGATGTTACCCATAATATGATATATAAGCACAATTAAGATGAGAATAAGTATTCAGGCATACACCAAGAAAAGATGGCTGATTTTCATGTCAACATTGGTTAGGCTCATATGGAAAACATGAATGTTGATTTATCATCCCCATTATTCTACCCATTTAGTAACAAAAAAGGAAGCAATTGCTGCTCGTTCCAAATATGTTCCTTTAGTCCTTTCCACATTGCACACTGCAAAATGCTGACTCCTCATCATTAGGCAAATTGATTCGTATTCAGAAAAGCCATTAGATTGCCTTGATTACATGTCTAGCTTCTTAGGCGCGCACCCAGTTTTGGCACCTTTGTCAAGAAAACTAAGACCTGACATAATTAGAATTCTAACATAGATGTTATAAATGCAATCTTTTTCCTCAATTCAGGTTCCAAATAAGTACTAGTTGTAGCATAAATGTTAAAGTTTACAGTCTTTTGATATATTTCAGGAATCAGGCCTAATACTAGTATTCTAAACATGGCATTTGAGGCAATAACTTTCTCTTGATTGTTAAGTGCCCCTTCTTCTATCAGCAAGCACCTATGTTACTTTAACCACATGAACAGGTTTTTCTAGGAGAAGGAACTACAGTGCGTGTAAGCATATTACCTCTGTATATTTATTTTGATGAAGATACCTCTGTATATTTATCACATGCACATTCGCCAACCAAAGGATTTAGTTACTGACTTCAACAACTAAACTCCCTTCCTTTCTTCTATAGATGGTTTATCATAAGTTTCTCAGTATTTCGATCATTTTGAAAGGAGAACATTTTCTTAGCATGCAGAGGTAAAGATGCTAAAATGTTTTAGGATTGAAAACAGAGTAAACAGGGAAGCCCCTTTAACCAATTATTTTGAAAATATATATACGTAAAAGAGTACAATGGATGCTTGTCACTATGAAGACCCTGAGAACTTCTCAAATTACCTTATGATAAATGGTACAGACATTGAGGTGTCGACAGGCTCTGCACATATTTGGACTCTGCATCAAAAGAAAGAAGTCACCAGAATAATAAGTTAATAATATCTAGAAGATTTTGTTAAATGAGTTCCTCTTGGTCAGGTAATAAGCTAATTTAAGTTTTCTGATTACTTTTATGGTGTTTACTCATAATTAAGGCAATAAATGATTGTGGCCTGGGATAGTGGTGGAAGATGACAACCATGCTTAGGTCTCTACAGGAAGAACTAGTATTCAATACTAATTATGAAGGTGTTCTCGGAATGAACTACACTTAACGGGCAAAACATTCACCTCTATGAAGACGACCAAACCGGGGGGGGGGGGATATATTTCAGTAGAGATTTTTACGTGGTACCAGAGAGAATAGGTTACAGAATACAATTAAGAGCCTTTTAACCTTAACAATTTCTATAAACTTACAGGACTGTGAAAGAACAGAATATAATAAAAGGACACAAGGAAATGCGGGATAACCCTGAATGCTTAGTGGACAACATGCCATTATGTGGAACCTGATCAGCCACATATTCAATGACTAGATAGTATTAATGCAAAATATTAAGTTCTAGCAAACACTATCTGTATTTAACCCAAGTATAACAGGATGAGACGGAGATACCTTACCTGTAACATTGGTGGCAGTTGTTGAGTTATAGTGGTCTTGAGAAGATCATTTGCAAGTTCATTACGGCGCATTATTAGGCCAACCAAGTCAGATCTTCGAACAGTTATTCCCTTGAAAAATGAAGTGTAATTTAGAAGGTTGCAAAGAAAAAAGAAAGAAAAGCAATCTTTATAATTCTTACAGATGCTAGTTTTCACCTACTTCTCAAAATCAAATGCTTGATTTTACCTGCGTCTGATCTGTATGCAGATAATACAGGAGACCATGTCCAATATGCTGCGAGTATCTAATTAAGAGAAAAATAGATGGCAATGAGATGAATCTTTGAAGAAGAACTAAAAGAAAATCTATATGGCAGTACAGCATATGCCAACAGTAGGTGAATACTTATGCAAATAGGCAGGGTTCGGTGCACCTTTCTGACATAAGAAGGGTATACAGCATCACTTGAGCATTATGTTCCATAGATGTCTGCAGAATGTAATGCCAATGATAACCTAGAGGTTAGGTGCCTAGCAAGAACGTATAAAGTGGAAAATTATCATCACTTCACAACTAAGTGATACTATTTTGCAAATTCTCAAACAAAACTTGCCTGTCCATTTGTTGCCTTCCCAGTTTTAAATTCGAGAGGCATAATCATCTCATTATATTTACTGGTGTTGAATTTTACATTTACTCGCAAGGATGCATCAATCATGCCTTTCAACCCATATTTTGGGGCCCATGCCATTTCTTCAATATCAAGTACCTATATTTAAGGACATCCAAAATGAAAAGAATATAAACACAGGGAGGATAGACAGACTGGACAGGGTGAACCATGTTATATGCATTTTCAAAACAATTATAGGTGAACATATGTTCTTGACATGTAAGTAATGTTTCTCCTTTGTTTTCCAGCAAAGAAGGGTTTGTCATGTAGATAATGCTAGAAAGCATCAGTAGTTTTGCATCATGTTGCAGGTTATTCTCCTTTAAGACAAATAAAAAACTGTTCAATATCCAGTCAAAAGACTCAAAACTAATAAATCAGGCATAATCTTGGTTAAAGAAAGCAGTCAAAGTGCATATAGCTAACTGAACTGAAGCACAAATCCTGTAAACCACTTGGGGAGTGTAATATTAGTTAAATGTCAGAATAACATGTTCCATTGGTTGCTCATTACTAGACATCCTCTATCAATCTCCTACCATAAACTTTATAACACAATTTATATCTGATGTCCCATAACTCATCAATTAATAATGAACCTTTTCTTTTAAAAAAATCTTAACGTTATACTTTAGGAGGACAATTTACATGTACTTTCATACTCCAGTTGCGACACTACAGTATAGTAGATAGAGTGTGAATTAAATTTCAATTTGAGGTTGCTGTGCGGAAAGCTTGTCGATTACTTCTTATTTTTTCATCACAAATCATAAATATAAAAGGAAACTAATGTTAGAGATAAATGTGTTAATGCTCATTTAACACGGTTCCTAACGATCATCCTGATGTGGTTAATGCTTTGTATATCAGAAATATTTGCAACATATGATTTTGAGAACTAACAAAGTTCGTATCTCAAGATTATTAAATTATTCAAGATGGATAGCCTTAAAAGATATTGATTGCAAGTATTAAGTATTAACTCAAGCCTGCATTACCAAGAAAGATAGAAGGAGGTTCCTTACTTCAGATACTTTAATCTTCTTAACTCCATCTTCACTTCCAAAATCAATACTTGGGCCTTCTGAAACCTAACATAAGTTAAGCTCATAAATATGTTAGGTAAACAAAGAGAGAAATTATAACAATGTGGGAAACAAATGTGAGAATGGGCACAAATCATAATCAGGATGTACTGAGAATCAAACACAAAGAACTAGCCACCAACGAAGTAGAAAATAATGGAAATGGCAAAAGGACAAGTGTTGCCTATGTTACGTATCCTTCAAAAAAAAAAAACACTGCACCAAAGTCAATCCAAATTGATAAGGGCATGGGTGTGAGATACCACCGCACTTGGTTAATTCACCTAGGCTGCATTGGCTACAACTATGGTATGGCTGAGAAGCATAGGTTGGCTGTGTTTTTGGTTTCAAATTTTGGGTTTTACATAAGTATTCAGATAAAGTATTCTGAAAAATTGTAATTGCATGTGATATACTTATGGAATAAAAGCTTAGATATTTAAAGCAATTTATTTGTATTTGTTTTTGTCGGATGATCTTTCAAATGAATTAGTCATATAAATATATATGTTATACTATACATTTATTAGTGGTATCTCAGCACCCGTACTGACCACATTTTCTAGTTCCCCAATCCTAAGATTTAGGTGATGACATATCATACTTCTAGATCCGCACCCATACAACCACACATGTATCCATCTATCACACATTTTGGTTGACGTGACTAAGAGGAGGACTAGCCTATGTACAAAGAATTTGGAACATAGTACTTTGGAGATGGCTCTAACTATGCTTTCTTTAGGTACCATATCCTTTTTATTTTTCAATTGTTTCATTTGGGTTTTACAAGTGTTAGCACAAAAATTGTAAACAATCCATAAACCATCACCTTTCTGAAAGAAAAAAAAAAAAGACATGTTCTTGATAGGGCTGCATGCTTTGTTGAACAAAGTAGCCTGATGTAATCCAAGTCTAACAAGGAGTTCACACCATTCAAAAGTTTCAAAATCACAATCCCACCTTTCCAGCTTAGTTACTAATGGCCTCAAGATAGTGTTTAACAACAATTCAGTCTTAATAAAATATGTAGCCATTTACCTCTGAATATTGGAAGGAACGTATCCAATTCAGCAATTTTGGAATTGCCTCAATCAATGTCTTGTGAGTATCATTTTCATCAACTGCAATTACCACAAGTTTGAGAAGTTTCAGCATTGAAAGGAATGGACAGCTTAAGTGCTTTGTTGTAGACTTGTCGTTGAGAATCATCTTCCCAGGACTTCTAAGAAAGCATTTTCCAGATGGCCAACGTAATAATTACGACTTCACAAAGTAGCAATTGGGAGAAACTTATGTTCCTCACCTCCACATGCATATAGGCTCTCAAGACTTTTCTGGAGCACTATCCTTGCAGAATCCTCCAAGAATTCTTGTGTAGGAGACTCTCTGATCAGACCAGCCTGGCAAAAAGCGTCAGTCGCTTTCAATGGCATAGTTTATAGTACATGCAAAGCAGTGAAAATTTAAACTATGATAATAAATGTGCCTATGGCCATAGAAAGCAAGAAATTTTCATCCGTAAAACCTGAAACATCTGATGCAATAATGTGCCAATCAATGCTGCAGCTGAATACTCGCCAGATTTTAACCTCTCATCCAGCACAGCTCGCCTTGAGCAACTGAAACTGGAAGCAACCTAACAGAGTACTCAACGTTCAAGAACAATGGAGAAAGAAGAATCATCAACTGATGGAAGCAAGACTTTGCAGAAGCTGGAACAGTGAAAGACAATATGTTGAGTAATCGAAACAAACAACTGAAAAATGATTGCACAGACATACCCTTGTTCCAGAGACTAAAATATCTGGATGAACAATGAGAGAAAATTCTTCTCACGGTTTATTTCACATTTTCCTTCGCTGTCAAACTCACCAATGACATGAATAGTATCTCCTGGTGCAACAACACTATAGCACCTGGAAAGCAAGTAAGTTCCTCATCATAATTGTCTGTCAACAATCAGAATTACAAAGATTAAGAAGAGACGATCTCTGGTCTCTTCCACAGAAGGTTCATACAGATGATGAATTATAGTTTCTCACAACTGGAAGGTACTTTTATAAAATGAAGCAATGCAGAAAAGCGGCTGGGACTAGAACGTTGTCTGCTTTAGAATTTAGGATAAAGATGCCTTTGTAAACTCAAATGCAAAGACAAGAAAGACATAAAAGCTACCTCAACAACAAAAGACATATGATGCAAGAAGAAGGGGGACAAAACTAGTGTTTGAAGGTCATCCGAGTAGCAGTGGCACTGTAATCTCTGTTTGTTTAGTTCACATGATAATCTCGTTGGGTCCATGACAGATCTAAAGAAGCAAATAATAGATATAAGTTACACAATGCACATTGAGATTGTTGTTCTGCGTGACTAAATATCATTACAACTGAACTGTCGGTTGGGAAGATGAGGTAAGAGTAGCAAAAGTATTCGTGTTCAAGTAACAAGTCATTGTGACCAGGAAAGTTCATCCCCCATGTTGTCTACATTCTACTATAACAGACATAGAGGAAATTATTCAAGAGTATTGGTCCTCTTGAACGAAATAGCTTGATTGTAAATCTGTGTTTTTAAGTATATTCAGCAGATTGAAAATAGATGAAATAACAGAGATTCAGCTCATTACCACTCATCCCTCAATTGCAAAACCCGCTCTTCTCCACTTTGTTCATTCAGTATGCGCAAAACCTGAAAGTCATCGTCAGGTGTCCGTACATCACTTGGGTTAGTGAGAAGTGAGAACTCACAAAGGTTTTAGCAAGGGGCTTTGGCACAAACCTTGAAGGAGTACTGCTGTCCAGATGTTTCAACTTGTCCATGCTTCTCAGAAACCTATAGTAACATATGTTTTGAAGTACATTGATCCATAATTCACATAAAGGATCTATTTAAATAAGAGAAGTTCCAATGTACCTCCAATACAAGAAAATAGATAGTTGACTCTTTCCTTTGGTCACGTGCACAAAAAATTTCTGCCGATTTCTGCAAAATGGCAGCTGGCTTAGCTGGTTCATCATGACTATGGGATGCAACTTTCTCCTCACAGTTTGGTTCAACATTAATGACATCTTCTAGCACAATGGCAGCTGGCCTAGCTGACTCTTCATGACTATGGGATGCAACTTTCTCCTCATATTTTGGTATAACAGAAATTACATCTTCTAGCACAATGGAAGCTGGCTTAGCTGGTTCATCATGACTATGGGCAACTTTCTCCTTAGATTTTGGTTCAACCGAGATAACATCTTCTACTTGGTCTAAAAGCTCAATCAATGCCTGAAACAGGATATAAAACCTACAAAGCACGGGGACTGTTGAAGTACGACTAATTACATCTTCTGCACAAATGGGGTCAGAAATGACTAACAGCAAATAATTACATTAGCTGAAAATGTTAGAGCAGTCAAAGACCTTTTTGTGTTGCCTTGAACCAAGCTGATCAGTAACTTCATTATTATTGACCGCATTGGCAGGCTGCATTTATTGCCAGAAATCATCAGAAACATTTCTACACGAAATGTGACAGATGTTTACTAGTATGACGATGCAGATACTACCTTATCACTGCCGTATGTCAAAGATGGTGGAGTTTGAAAAGGACTCTGACTGTTAGTTACTTCAGTTTTGCTCTGGCAGTTAAAGTTTCCATTGGTTTCCCACAGATCCATTACATGATCGTTGTTTCTGTTTCTCAAGCTAGCCCTATTTGAGCTTACTAATGATTTATCAAGCGCCTTCAGTGGAGGTGAACAAAGCCGCTTCTCAAACTTTCTTTCTGTCCCATGAGACGTCTGTAGTAATCATTAGTCTTATAGTATTACAATGATCTATAACATAAAAATGGCACAGCATAATTGTACATATGTTAATGTACCTTTTTCAGCGAACATTCTTGAATACTTAAGGAGTTGAAGCGTGATGAATCCGCCAACACCGTTACCATCTCTGGTAACTGTTTGGACACGGCATGAAGTCGTCCATTCACTGGAGATATTTTCCATGTTACTTCATCACCTCCATCATCCTGGGTTTGCTTGATCAGCTAACAAACAACAGCATATATATTAGATCATGTGTAACTGACAAGCAAGCTTGGACAACTTTTGAATCAGTTAGATCTAATTCTTTTTCATGCTTTCTTAACCATGAATGTAACAGTCTAAGCATTTAAAACTATAGACTAAAAGATGTGTCAAGTTTATTAAACAGCTGATGGATTCAAAATCCTCCTTGCAAGATAGAAGAGGTTGCTGGGGTCAAAGAAGACCATCGACATGTCTTTAAAATTCTAAAAGGTGGACATCCATGCAATGTCTATAGAAATTTTAGACAGGTCTCTGAGGTTGGGCCCCCAAACTCCCCAGCTTGTCCAGTGAAAGATCGACAAATGCTACTTTAACTTCAGTGACACAGAAAGCCACGTTGCTTTAAAGTCTTTGGCATGATGTTACATCAATGAGTTTACTCATTAATTTCCTCCTACCCATGCCCCGATCCCTCATAGCACGATTTCTTGTAGAATGAGCCTAAAAAGCTGCAATCTTGCACTAGTATTTAATAAAACAAGAAGACCCTTCATTCATATACACACGTTGAAATTAGCTCCATCCAAGTAAATTTCACTGATGCAACTAACAGTTAATGTGCCTCAATCACAAACAAGTTGGTGTTGGCTAATATGAATCCTCACTGATGATGTTACTCAACAATAAAAAAGTAAACAATAACTAGAAACCAACCATCAGAAAATAAAGATAATTACCATTCCTGGAGAAAACTTGAAGCGCTTCACAGACACTGACTTGCAAAATTCAGGCGTTATTTCTGCTTGATTTTTATCCTCCCCTGAACCTACAGTTACCACATTCTCCGTAGGTGTACTCTGAGACGGACCACCCAACTCATTCTTTTTCGAAGTCACTCTTTTTCCCTTATTTTTACCATCCCCAACTCCCTTATCCTTAAATCTCTCCGTTACATCAATATGATCCGATTTATTCACATTTCTACAACCTTTATCTCGAGACACCGCATTATCCTTGTCACGCTTTTCCGAATTCAATCCATTATTTGTAGAAGTTTCTGGTACTGATACACTGGAATTTTCTTTAGGGTTTTGAAATGAGTTGGAATTGGAGTTGTGGGGAACGAGGAGGGGTTTGGATTTCTGAGAGAGGACATTTTGGGTGTGGCGTTCAAAGAAATGCTGGATCCCGAATTTGGAACGCTGAGATTGCTGCTGATGCTGAAGGTTCTGGTTTAGGTGGCTTGATTTCTTTGTTGATCCTGAACTTGTTCTTTTCTTTGGAGCCATTTTATGTTTCGATTGAGCTGAGTTGTGCTATTACAGAATACAGATGACACTAACTAGGGTTTTAGATCATCGGAGAAGATTGAAGAAAGAGGGCAAAAATGTTAGGAACTGAGAAAGGGATTTTCCCGCCAAAAGAGAAGGGGGACGGTTTGGAGGGAGTGAAGTTGGAGTTTTTTTTTAAAAAAATTGTATTTTTGTATTAAAGGATATAACGGGGGGATATCAGAAATAGTATTGAAAAATAGTCACGGTTTCAAAAAATAATCAAAATTTAGTCACTTTTTTATGTAAAGATAAAATCTGAACAAAAATACTCTTAAAATCCGAAAAAAATCTGGCACAATATGCTGGAGTTCAAATTTTATACATATAAAAACCAACATAATGTGCTGGAATTTCATAATGTGTTGTAGTTCCAACATAATATGCTGGAAGTTTATACGCAAGAGCTCCATAATACAGCATATTATGCTGGAACTTTTCGTGTTTCAGCAAAATAATGATCATTTTTTAATGACTTACAAAAGCTGGTTATTTTTCAATTACCAGTTCGAAAACTGGCTCGCCCATGCCATTTTCACGGATATAATGGGTTAGAACTAAGGGTGTTAAACGGGTGGGCCGGGCCGGGCTGGGTTGGAATTTTTTTGACCCATACGGGTTATGGTCCGTGACGGTTACGGGTTGGGGCTTAACGGGTTTAATGGATTCGGGTTCATCCGGGTAAAAATTGAACCGTAAGGGTTACCGGTTGAGGGGGCCGGGCCGGTTTTAGTGTTTTTTTTTTTTGTATTTTATATAACTATTGTAAGTTATATTAATACTTTGTATTAATTTGAAGAATACAAGGAAGATGGAAAAAAATTGCACCAAATTTTCATGCATAATAAATTAATAATACTTCATATTAATCTAACAAACTAAAACATTAAGCATAAATACGTCTAATAATTTTAAAATAACACAAATTGTCTTAAAATCTTAAATACGAATTTCCGGAGGACGCTCAAGACAATACTTTATATGCCTCCTTAAACTGCCTGTGCCAGACCCTGAACGAAGATTTAAAACTTGACCACAGTTCTTGCACTTTACTTTCTGACCGTCTTCATTTTCTTCTACCACCTCAAAGTGTTGCCAAACATATGAGCGCACTCTAGAAGTACGAGGCATGATTTAACTTGAATTGAGATTTGAGAATTGAGATTGAGAAATGAGAATTGAGAGATGAGTGAAGAAATGAGGAAGAGAAGGGAGGGTATTTATAGTTTTAGAGAAGGTTAATTTTGTAAATTGAAAAAAGGTTAAATTTTAAGGAAAAAAGAGGCTATTAATGCAATTAAGGGTGTTAAGCAACGGATCCCTGCCAGGGGTGACCGTTGCCAACGGTTAGTGGGCCCCACTGATTTCAAAGAATTAAAAAAAAGAAAAAAAAAAAGAAATAGCCGTTTTACCGGTCCGGTCCAGGGCGGTTAAACCGGTACACGACACTGTTCACGTGGACCGGGTTTGATCGGTCCAGTTAACCGTTACAAAAAAAATAAACGGACCAACCCCCTCCACCCCTCCTACCCAACCCCACCCGGCCCCCTATGCACCGGCCCGATCGGTTCGGTTACAGGTCAAATTCCTAGAAAATTCTATCTGTTAGCATTGAACCAGTTCCGTACACCTAGAACTCTAAGCCGTTATTTTTGCCTAATATCTAGGGAAGCCAAATAGATCATTCAAAATCTGGAATTTCATGTTGATTAGACTCCTATTTGACCAGTGCAAAAGGTTGTCGTTACTTATTAAATGTGTAATTCCCTTTAAATACACATCAATTCTACAGCCTTCATCATAGCTCCAAACCGTCAAAAACTTGTCTTCGCTATTACCTGCCCTCTTCTCCAAAATTCCCAAATTATTTCATGAAATCAACAATCATGTCTAACCCACAAGAAAATCCTGAAACTCCTCCACCACCATCTCCCTCAAATTCATCCTCATCTATTCCACCCAGTGTATCTCCAAAACCTAGACTACGAAGGGTGAAAATGTTTGCTCTAAAGACTGTAGCATCTGGGGATCTGAGGAAGGCTTTAAATGAAAGGTTGAAAGCAAGCCAAATGAAAGAAAGCCAAGCTCCAAATTCCGACTCCAACTCTGAGTCTAAATCCTATCAATCCGCGACTGAGGGGGAAGGACATGGGTCTTCTGACTCTGAGAAGACTCAAGAATCTCCTACTGAGGTAAGTTCATCTATGATTGAAAACTTAGAGACTATATTTGTTCTGGTTGGACCAATTAGGGATGTTGAATTGCCTGAGAAACGTAGGAGTTGAGGTAAAAAAAAAATATGAAAAAGAAAAAGAGAGAGAGGGCGCGTGTGGTGAAGAGAGGGGAATTGGGAATAGTGTAGTACCTGCTATTTATGGGGTTGAACATGAAAGGGTAGAAGCGAGTGGCCTGAAGTCAGGGGGAAGTGGTTCTGGGGAAGCTGCTGAGGGATTGGTTCATTTGAGCAAACAGAGAAATGAACATGTTTCATCTACTGAAGAGACCCTGGCTGTTCTACTGAAAAAGGTTGGGCAAGCTATGACCCAAAGAAATGCAGAACTCCCACAACAAAAGCCCCAAATGTTCCCAAGCTTTCCAAGAAAAGAAAAGCTTCATCCCCAACACATACTGCCTCTTCAGTGCATAGGGGTAGAGCCACAAGAAGCAGGGTAAAACAGAGTGAAGCTGATCTATAAAAGGCCTTAGAAGAAAGTAAGAAAAAGAAAATGGATCAGGGAAAGGGAAAGATTGCAGAATCCTCAGAGGCTGTTGAGGAAGAGGAGATGGAACTAGTCCATCAAGAAAGGGGTACAACAGTGGAGGTTCCTACACCCAAGACTCCCTCCAAGAAGTCTTCATCTGTGCCAGTGGCTGCTGAACTCACACTATCCAAGAGGACAAGATCTGCAGTGAAAACCAAATAATCAAAAGTTTTTGAATTTATGGCCAATGCTGCTATTAAGGACAGAGTTGTTAGTAGCCCGGTGAAAGGAGTCCAAGTGCAGTTTGATGCAGAGAAACTGGGAAAGATCCTGGACATACCCTCTGAAGGGTTTGATGACTATACAAGGCAAAGGTGGCCATGCATGGACTCCCTCTCTACCGCCCTTGAAATCACCAAGAGGTTTTGTGATTCATAAGAGGTGAATGAAGCCAGGGCTATGCAGAAAAGTGAGATGAGGCCTGAGCACAAGGTTGTGTTTGAATTTGTCAACAAGTGCTTATTGCCCAGACAGGAGAGAAGGCACACTGCTAACTACATGGATCTGGTTCTTATGGAGTGCCTGGAGAGAGGAAAGCAAATCAACTGGCCTGCCTTCATTATCAAACTGCTAGACAGGGTCATAAATGGTTCCAAGGCTCATGCTACTCCATATGGCTTCATACTAACCACAGTTCTGGACAGGCTAAATGTGCCTCTAAAGAAATGAGAAATGGACTCTAGCAAGGAACACTTTGGCATCAAAACTCTTCTTTCCCGTGACTATCCAGTCAATGCCATCCCAATTGAACCTGGTTCATCTCTGAAGACACCCATTAACAGCAAGTTAGGACTCTTGTTCAGGAATGTGCAGCTAAGGATGCCGAAATTGCTAGGCTCAAGGCTCATGTGGTTGAAGTGGAAACTGAGAGGGATGGTCTCAGAACTGAGCTTTCCAAAGAAAAGGAGAAGAATGATGGAATTCTTCAGAACATGCTGAATCTTCTCCAAACTCAACCCCAACCCTCCAGTTCCTCCAAGCCTTATGACTCCTAGCTTCTGTCTCCTGAACTTGTTTAGTACCCCCAGTGACCCAGATTAGGGATTTTTCTATTTTTTGCTCGTGGTTTGAATGTTTTTCTTTATCTTTGTGGATTGTTGGTGGCAACATATCTCCATCAATGACAATTGTTGTCTTTCTCTTGTTCAATGATTAATCTGTCCTTGATAGTTTAAATATGTTTGTTTGATTACTGATGATTGCACCATGATTGCACTTGCAGTTGCCCCAGTGGCCATGAGTACTTATTAAAATCTGGGATTCACATTTTGTATGCAACTTTTCGATGATGCCAAAAGGGGGAAGAGATATTGTGCTTTACACATTCTGAAATAAGTGATATTTATAACTTAATTAACCTGGTCCTTGATGATAACTGAATTTTCTAAGTTTAGTGTTGAGGTTAAGCTGAGTTCTTACAGGTTCCAAATCAGTAAAAAGCACAGAGTTTGTCATCATCAAAAAGGGGGAATTTGTTGGCCAAAGAACAGGTGAAGTTTTGAAGAATGACAAATGAACTCAGTCATGGACTAGGTCCATCTTGTGAAGCACAGTCATGATCAACCTATACACGTGAAGGAGATAAGTCCTACTGATCAAGCAGCAATATCTCCTGATCTGTTCGAAAAGGTTGCATATTGGATAAGGTGAGAAAGTCTCCTTATATGAAGAGAACACAATCCAGGATAAAGATAGTGTTGGAGTTTGAGATCTTCAAGAACTCAACTACGATAGAAGATCAGCAATTGAGTCCCAATCAAACTCTGATTACTAACCTATTAAATGATAGTAGTTGTTCTCTTTTACAGGTATTGCACAAACGCAAAAGTTAAACTAAATTGAGAGCAAAAGAGCAAGGCGATTTTGCAAGCATTTTATGTGAGATTTGAGTGTGCACTCCTGAAGCTACTTGAACGAGATAGAAGAACTAGTTCCATTGTGTCTTTCTTTTATTCTAGTTCAATTGTAGTAGGTGGTTTAAAGTTGTACCTTTCAGCTTTCATAGAAGCAATTGTATTAGGTACCTAGAGTGTTCAAGTTATAGCTAACTTGAAGTTGTCGCAACAGTTGAGGCTGTGTGCCACAACGGCATTAGGGTTAATCCTTAGGTTTACAAAGAGTTTTTGTAAATGCTGTTTTGGCTCAGTGATTTTAGTGGAAGTTTGGATAAATCCTACTAAGTAGTAGGTCATGGTTTTTTCACCTTTTGAGCCAGGTGTTTTCCACGTAAAAATCTTTGTGTTCTTTATTTTATGTACCTATTCTGCAAACAGTAGTAGTTAGAACACCTAGAAGAATCAGGTTCTTCTATAGCGAAAATTGGGTACCACACAAATCACC